TGGATTTAAATCTTGATAAAGAAATGGCATGTATAATTAATAAAGTTCATTAACAATTTAAGGCCAGCATTTCTATGTCACTAAGTTCATTCCAACATCAACCTAAGATGACACAGGTTTTTTTCATTATTATCCTGTATAAATGTTACTGGATCTAGTTAATTGAAGATATTTTTGAATGCAAGGTATGATGTCAGAATAAAATCAACATCTGGAAGGAAGATTAAAATTTTAAAGTTTGTTGTTCCTACAAATGAATTTGAAACTAATTGGATATGTTAATGTGTAAGTGATATATGAAATAATTAGTTTTCAGTAAGTCTACTGTTAGTGTGTTGCTTTTTTCTTGTGAAGTTAGGTGCTGCATTGTGTATTTCAAAAGTATTTGCACTTCAGGTTTTGCTCAATTTTTTAGCAATTGAGTTTACAAAACTATAATTCTTCACAAAGCAATCACATTGCTAAAACCCAGAATTTCTTTCAGAAGAAATCTCATAGATAAATTGAAGTCATATTATTTATAAAAACAATTCAGGGAGGTTAAATTACGGCTTCTAATCTCTAAAGAAGTGGAGATGCTTGATTATAATTTGCTGTAGTTCAATTCCTGTTATTTTCTAGTGTAATACTTATTTCATATTACTATAATTGACAGGGAATAATGAGTTGCCAAACATTCTTAAGCAGAAAAATTCGTAAGATCATATTTCATCCTCCAATTATGTTGATTATGTTGTCATATTTAAGAAAGCAGACAGAACTTTACCAAAATGAAGATTCTGAATTGTACTACACTCTAAGGCATGTCAGAGACTCCTGTAGTCCTTTTAGGGGTTTTGTTTTCTATTTGCTTTGTGGTTGGTTTTCTTCCTGAATGAGTTTGGACATCCCTCCTGATGTTCTTTCTCTTTTGCATAGTGACCAGGAGTTTGATAGGCTCTTGACAGATTGCTAAAAATTACCAGCTGTTTCTGTTCAGATTATTGGAACCCTCTTCCTCTGAACTGCAGCAGCTGGAAGCCCTCTGGTCTATACTTTGGAGCCTTTGTAATTATGTTCTGTTCTATAAAGTTTCCTATACCAAGTTCATGACTTTACTTTCTTAGTTTCTTCTCTAAGGGAGCAAGCAGTGAGACTAAAATTTTTTACTTAAGTTTGCTGAGTCTCTCCTTCAAGGGGAGGAGTTAGTGCTGTGGGAATCTCTTCTACTGATGGAAGGGATCTCTTTAGAGTCTAATTATTTGCTTATTGGAATATAGTTTGGGGGTGAGGTCAGGTGAGAGCTTGGTCTCACGGCCAGTAATGCTGAATGTTCATGAAAGAGTAGAAAGATAAGAATGGATATTTGCCCTCACTCCATTGATATGTCATCCATCAGTATCATTAAAGTAATTTTAAAACTTACTTATATCCAGATTATATTGACTGGTTTAGATTCTTGTGGTCTACACAACACTGTTGGTTAGGGGGGACAGGGCACTAACACATCTTTGAAGAGATCTGTGAAAAATAACTTGGAAAAGAAAACATTTGTTAGTAAACATAGATTCATTATTTAGGCATATGGTTATGTGTTATTTGTTGAAAATTCTTAGTTTTGACTGTTAGCTTAAATAAGATAAGGTTGTAATTGGTCTCTGGCTGACTCTGATGTTCAAAAATGGAAGATTTGACAGTAAGTAATAACTGCTTAGGTCTGGTATATTTGGTATAAATTTATTAATTGCTGATTTAAATAATGCAAATAAGTGGCATTTCAAATGAGTGGAGGTATATCCAAATAATCTCTGAAGAGTCTTAGAGCTTTAAAATACTACACTTTTAATTGTTATGCAAAAAGTTTGTACTGGCGTCATCAAAATAGTTAATCCAGAATTCAGCAGTAAAGGATCAATCTTTGTGGTTCTGAAGAGGAGTACATTCACATTTAACCATCTTGGATATGAAGTTTCTGACTAAACCCTTTACAAGGATTCCACAATGTGGAAATGGTGATTTATCTGCTGTGTCTTCAAGATGATAAATCAGAAATCTCTGGATTTTAAAGTTTACCAAACAGTATTAATAGAATGGAGTGTTGCCATTCTGCTAAAACAAAGCTCAGCAACCATGCATATGGTTCTTATTTAGACTTGTTACCTTTTCGCAGGTATGTAAAAAATTTCCATTTGCCAGGACAAGCAGTTCTAGAGGGTTTTTTTAATCCTATTATACTCATTTGTTGAAAAAGTTTAATCTGGGACTTAAGACAATCATCAGGTTTGCAAGAAAGAAGTAACATCGGAAACTTCAGCACTGGTGATGTTCTGGCTGCTGCTTTGGAAAGATTTCAGATTAAATAGAAGAATGGAGATACTTCTTTAATACAGCTCCCCTCATCCAGCTGCTGTCCCTAATACTTGCTCAGCTTCCAGGTATATCCGTTTTCAGGATGGATATTCTTCAAATCACGATTGACTTGCAGTTTCAGCAGAAATATATTCAAAGGTATCTGTGGTTATTCCAGTGCAATGTTTTTGCACAAAGGTTCTGCAGTAATTAATTTCTAAATCTGAAAGTACTCATTGTTTTGACACGCAGATATTTCCAAAGATGAATGCCACAACCTGTCTCCAGGAATACTGTTCATAATAGGACAGGTGAGACTGCTTGGAAATCCATTTCAAACTTGTGGTTCCTGTAGTATTGTTTCTTGCACCACAGTGACCCATTTAATTTGACAGAACATCTCTGCTATTTTTTAGAATAAGGTAGTTTATGATCTTTCTATGAGTACCAAGGTACTGCCTTTTGGTGAGCAAGTTGCAACGTTAGGAGAATGTCCATGCCGATTTGCCAAGCAAAACTAATGCATACACAGGAGAATAACTGGGATCAGACTGTACTCTGAACAGTCATAAATTTGTTCAAGTAATTGAACAAAATGTAGATACATTTTTGATGTTCTTGGGGGGCAGGGAAGGGGGAGGAGGAGTGAATAATATTTCTAAAAAGAAAACAATCTGAGAACAAACTTGGATACCTGATCTATAATATACTCAGAAAGCTCTCCTGTGGGTTACTGCGTATTCCTTTTATTATGAAAATCGTTGCAAAGAGTGAAGCAAAAAAACACTTTATTGGTCTCAAGAACATGTGAGCCTACCTGTTCAGAACTGTGGCAAGCTTTGAACTTAGGTCTGCAGGATTTGAAACAAAAATATGAGTCTGATATTTTGGCAAAGTCCTAGATCCTGACAATAAAAAGAAATTCTATCATCTATGGAATGAATTGGATGAAGCTTGGATACTGATGCCTTAAAGACTATGAATGGATATGGATATTGTAAAGTTCCTAAGTTCATCTGTTCTTTAAGATCCTATGGGGTCTTGGGATTCATGCGCTAACAAGGCAGATTTATGCAAACTTACATATATTTGATTGTAAAAGAGAAGACTTGAAGACATCTGTTTTCAGAGGTTAATTACTCTCTTTGCACTTCTCTGCTATTCTATTGATTATTCTCATATAGTTCAAAGTGACTTCAAAATTTGATAAAGCCCAGTGGTGTTTTTCACCTTTCATATTTCTGTAGCAATGATGGCAACCAGAAACGTTTTTGTGCTCATTCACTGGAGTTTTTCCATTATGCTCAATGAAGATAGCAGTACTATGTACTCATCCTACCTTTAATGCACTAGTCCAACCAGACATTTTCATAGAATATCCTGAGTTGGAAGGGACCCACAAGGATCATCGAAGTCCAACTCTTGGGCCTGCACAGGACAGCCCCAAGAATGACACAATGTGCCTGAGAGTGTTGTCCAAACACTTCTTGAACTCTGGCAGGCCTGGTGCTGTGACCACTTTCCTGGGGAGCCTGTTTCAGTGCCCAGCCACCCTCAGGGTGAAGAACCTTTTCCTAATATCTAACCTAAACCTCTCCTGACACAACTTCATGCTCAGGTCCTGTCACTGGTTGCCAGAGAGAAGAGATCAATGCCTGCCCCTCCACTTCCCCTCATGAGGAAGCTGTAGACTGCTATGAGGTCTCCCCTCAGTCTCCTATTCTGAACAAACTGAACAAGCCAAGTGACCTCAACCACTCCTCATATGGCTTCCCCTCTAGACCCTTCACCATCTTTGGGGTCCTCCTTTGGATGCTCTCTAATAGCTTTATATCTTTCTTATATTGTGGTGCCCAAAACTGCACACAGTAAAGCAGGACAATCACCTCCCTTGACCATCTGGCAATGCTGTGCTTGATGTGCCACAGGACATGGTTGGCCCTCCTGGCTGCCAGGGCACACTGTTGACTCATACTGAACTTGCCATCAACCAGGACCCCCAAGTCCCTTTTCATAGTGATACTCTCCAGCCTCTCGTTCCCCAATCTGTCCGTACATCCGGGGTTGGCCCATCCAGCACTCGCCCTTGTTAAACTTCATGTGGATGGTGATTGCCCATCCCTTTAACTTGTCTAGGTCTCTCTGCAAGGCCTCTCTGCCTTCAAGGGAATCAATAGCTCCTCCCAATTTAGTATCATTGGCAAACTTAATTATTTTCATATACTTGGGCCAGCTTTTTTGTCCTAGATCCAGAAATTTCATAGAGGCAGAACAGTAATGATCAAGTCTAGTTTGAGGACTGCTCTCAAGGTGCACTGGAAATATCAAGAAATCTGTGAGTAATCTGTAACTCCATCTGCAATCACCTTGCTATTTAGGAAAACAAAAATTTGAAGGCATCCCTTTCTTCTCAGATAAGATATCAACAGGTTGTGGTTATAACTTACTAAACATCAGTGCTCAGTTGTCAAGAGAAACAAAGAAGGTGCATCAAAAGAGTTCTGTATTTAGAGGGAATGTGCCAATTTGTGATGTGATCATATATTTATATTAACTTATAATTTGACATTTTGGATCATGATGAAGAGCAGCATTTTGAGCCTGTGGAAGTTCAAGAGAGAAAATTGGTCATACTTGAATTATTTTGGTTGTTTAATATTGGAGCCCTCAGCATGAAGGCTGTGAAAGGTGAGTTTTGGTTGATCCAGCTACATCAGTTTAAGGCATTGCATCTCTTGGCCATTTGCCTTGCTCCTATAGCAGGGATAGCAGAAGGAAAAATTTATCATAGAATCATAGAATCAACCAGGTTGGAAGAGACCTCAAAGATCATCGAGTCCAACCCTACCGTCGTTACTAGAACATGGCACTAAGTGCCACATCCAGTCTCATCTTGAAAACCTCCAGGGATGGTGAATCCACCACCTCCCCAGGCAGCCCATTCCAATGCCTGATTACTCTTTCTGTAAAAATCCTCTTCCTAATATCCAACCTAAACATCTCCTAGCAGAGCTTGAGTCTGTGCCCTCTTGTCCTACTGCTGGTTGCCTGCGAGAAGAGGCCAATCCCCACCTGACTACAACCTCCTTTCAGGTAGTTGTAGAGGGCGATAAGGTCTCCCCTGAGCCTCCTCTTCTCCAGGCTGAACAATTCCAACTCTCTCAGCCTTTCCTCACAGCAGAGCTGCTCCAGCCCTCTCATCACGTCGGTGCCTCCTCTGCACTTGGCTTGGCTTGTAGCTGGCTTGTTCAGTCTGGTAGGTTAATGCAAACTATCGTCACTTGTGTCTTCATTTGATGCACTGGTAAATGAAACACACTTGTACAAATGTGAATGTGTTCCCTTCTGCTACAGGTGATAACCTCAGTTAAAGGAATGGGGCAGATAGCTTCTAACAGTAATGTCTTAAAGGCCAGATCCACTATCAGAGTTTTACAGGACTTTTTCAGTGTGGCTGACATTTCTGGGTTAAAGTGAAAAAACTGACTGACTTTTTCCTAAGAACACAAGTTCCTCAATTTGTGTTTCAAAATTTCAAGAGTTTTAATTGAGAAATAAGGTGGTGATACGTGTGTGTGTATGTATATTAATGTATATATTTTTAAAAAATAGTAATCAAATGTGAAATTTGTCAATCTGTAAGTTTGTACTTTGTGGTCATTACTAAGACCTGCTATGAAGCTCAGTGAGGTCAAAGCGCTCTTAGTCACAGGGAGAAAAATAATTTTTGACACTGTATGAATGTTTCAAAAGA